TCTTTAGGTGCAAAAAGAGATCTTTGTTTAAAAAATAATGTCGCCGACTGATCCTTTCTTGGTTGGTCGTTTGGAACAGACAAAAAATTAGAACAAGTTTTCAGCACTAAGACCACATGGACAGGATTTTCTTCTGCAACTTGAAACAAAATCTATCAAGGATGGTTTGCAGAAATATGAAAAGTTTAACCCTTACGACAACGAATTCGAATCGTGGTCAGCAGCCGGAAACGCTGTTTAAGCTAAGATTGAAGGGCGGGAAAGACTTTCTGTGTGTTTGGTGGAAACATCTACTATGAGCTCTTAATCTTTGACCAAACTATTTTTTTCGCACCGGTGCTTTCAGCAATTGGAATGTCTAAACGCATGGATCGACCAAAAACGGCCAACTTTGGCCTATGGAAGGGAAATTGTGTCTCATCAGGACAACAGCAGCGTGAGCGGCTCTGAGAGCTTGGTTGGGAGCTGTAATTGCATCCACCTTATAGTCCAAAATTGACACCAAGTGATTACTACTTGTTCCTGTCTATGACAAATGACTTTGCAGGTGCAAATTTAAGCTTAAGAAAAGTTTGGGAAATCAGCTGTACCATTTTTTTTGCCAATAGGAACAAATACTTCTGCGCATATTTGAACAGAATTGTATTATTCTAACTAATTTAAATAAAACCTTCAACTTAATCCAAATTAATGGATATTATACTATTATAGCTTCTACATTACCTTGAACTTGTAATGCGTACACCGGACAAATATCACGATTTGGTCTACAATAAATTTATCTTTAAGAACAGAAAACACGCGCTTAAGACAGCCATGTAAACGGCTTCAATAAGCTGTCAGCGACTGCGGTGAAACAGTATGGCATCACATTTATGGCAAAAAGTATGGCAACACACACACGAATGCATATCAGCGCAGCGCTTTGTAATTGCGAGTTATTGTTAATGTGCTCATTCGGCGCGTTGCAGTCGCCCACTGCGTGCGTCGTCAAATATTTTACCCGCCACAAGGCGAGCGCCAAATTACCACTTCACCAAAGTGAAATATGTGCAGCAACTACTTATAACGGTCAATAAAATAAGGCCACTAGCGCTATTCCAAAGGCAGCGGGTGTTCGCCGTGCGTTGTGGCCAAGTGGTGGCACGAAGTTCAAAAGTATCGAAATTGAGTTGTAAGTAGGAGTAGCAGAGTTTATGGCATGTTGCAGCAAGTGCTGTTGCAATAGCGGTAGTCGTGGCTAGTAGCGGCTGTTGGTAGTAGCCTGCTAATTAAGTGCGTTTTAGCAGTTGGCGCAAATAGCTTTAAACAGCTGGACGGCGCGCGCTGCAAGCGCTGAGCGAGTACGTGAGCCACAATCGTTATTCAATAATTTAGCTTTAAGTAATTTCTGTGCTAAGCCAATGGACGCCATAAGTTATATTTCGTCATATATATGGGTAATTACTTGTGCACATGAGTGGCTATTGTGCATCAGACGATCGAAGAATACACGCAACAATTTGAGCTGTGTTCATACACTTTTTGGAAGATTTGCGAAAGGATCTTGGTTCGCGTGCACATGTCCACAACACAAACACCCTCTATATGCCCAACAGACCCGTAACCCTAACTCATTTAGAGACTATCTCCATACTTTTTGGTATATTTTGAGAATCTTGTTTAGGCAGTGCTTCGCAAACGTAATGAATGTTCTGTGTTTTCTCATTATCTTCGCGGAAAAAAATCCAACCCGTCTCAAAACTTAGTGTATTCACATGAATATGCACTCATAATCAGTAAGCAATCTGATATTGGAGCTCTTAATATGTTTATAAACCTTATATTTTTTTCAAAGTATCCAAAATTAGTTCCCAGAAGAATTCCAGTTTATCTATTGTCACTTCGTCATCGAAACAAATATCGAAAATCGCTGTCAGATATAATATAATAGCCAATATACAACCATTTTATAACCAAACTTCAAATTTCATTTCAATATGAGTATATGATAACCAATATATTGGGTAGTCGAAAAAGTATTTTCGTATTTCTAATCAAACTTCAACTTATTGTTTTTTTTATTTATACTAATATATAAACAAATATGTAGCATTTTGGTCTACCACTTTTTGTCATTTTTCCGCTAGAGACTTTCATCAATGTAAACCGAAATTACGTAATTTCTCGAACGGAATCGAACAAACCATCATTGTGCTACACGAAGTGATACAGCATCGTCTCTGTAAACTTCACAAACTTTATTGGTGGCTTTAGTGGTATTCTTCCCGTTTTTAAACAAAAATTACAAAATATAACCAATTTCTTCATTATTTTCAGTAATTTTTGAACAGCTTTAACTTTTTTTCCAACTTCCCCCTATTTAATTTTTGCTTTTGGGTAAATGAAGCTTAAAAAAATGAAAAGATTTTAGACTACTCAATATTAAGGCTTTACTACTTTCAGCTAATAGCTGGTGAGTAACCGTTAGAGTAACCGTTTGCTTCGTAGCATCGCACCATCCATAAGGCCCACAAAGCAAATGTGACAAATTGAGATGGAAGGGCACTAGGCGCAGCCGGGAGAAGTAAATATGTATAGGTTTTAAGTAATTCGTTCGTGACAGACAAACGTATTAAAAATATTTTATTCTCCAGGAATAAGTTTTGGCAGAAGATTGCTTTGTGAACGAAAATATCGATCGACATATATTAGACTTTTATTTCAAATTCGCCATATTACAACTCCAACTGGAAAGGAAGGGCATCCCTTACAGGAAGTAAGTAAAAATAAAAAGAATAAAAAGAATAAAAATATAATTGAGAGCACAATCAGCACTCCCCAGCAACTAAGCATTATAAAGCCGTTGCGGATTTCCGGAATATTATCAGCAGTAATACTTGATTGGCGGAAAAGCTCTACTGGTGGCGCAGTGGAAGTTGACGGCGCTGCATACCGCGTCGGAAATTGCGAATTCATTGCAGTAACTGTATTCTGGCTCACGTTATTACCTTAGTACGAGTTCTGAACATAACTAAATGTGAGCGCGTTTTGACGGCAAAAATGAACGTGAAGATTTTGAGCTTTTGCGGTTGAAAACGTTAAGCGATTATGTACTGTCATAATTTAAATAGAATTTAAGTGCTTTATATGTACGTGGCCGGTAATAGTGACTTACATTTTTCGATATTTCAAGTTGCTAGGTACATAGAATTTTCATTTAAACACCAAACGTTTTTATATAAATATAACCAGTTCAAATAATCTAGTACTATTTGATGATTTATTAATATAATTTAAATTATTTTTAATTTTAAAACTGAACTTAAAAATATTTCCGAATAAATATTATTTTCAGATTTTTTTCGAAAGCTTTGTACTTGCTTGCTAAGCCTTTAGTCAAGTAATACATGCTCTCAGTTTACGCTGAAATCATTTATGTTGCCATTCATCAAACTTAATGGCTTCAACTTATTACATGCTTGTAATTATTAAAATTTATAAGACTCATAAAAAACTTAAACGATTCTTTAAGTGAGCTTTGAAAGGACTACTGAAAACGCAATAAATACTTGATAGCAATTTTTTAGTGTTTTATAGATTTTTTGATTAATGACGATATTTAAACCATGTGAAATTATTGGCGATGTAGGTATTAATGCCGGGGCTTCCGGTCATATTCTTTAATGAAAAATTTCCTCATTGACCCAATTTCCATTTGCGAGTCGATACATTTCTGGAGCGGATGGTTACTGCTGATGAAACTTAGGTCTCTTACGGTCCCACAATGGTGGTGGGGAATCGCGGAATCGCAGTGAGGCGACGCAAACGGTGGGTAAGCCAAGAAGGACGACAAGGTTCCAAGGGAATGACAGCGAGATTCCGAGGTTTACAGTGAGCTCCTCTCCTACTGCCAAACCCTTTTGTACTGCTAACAATTGGAACGTATAGAAGAAAGCAAGCGCCCTGAAATATTCAGGACAACGCCAGGCCACACAGATCTGTAGCAACTTGTCAGAAGTTCGGGCAGCTTGGCTGGAAAATTCTTTTATGTATATTCAGGTTGGACCTGGCAGCAAATGAGATCTTACTGGCATCGTTGGAATATAGGAAAGATCACTGAAACTCATTTTGAAAGATCATTTGGGCCTAAGAAAAGTGAAAGAATGATTGGTTCCAAAATCAGTCAACTTGCCAAGACGTCATGAAGCGTATTATTACAGCCGATGAGTCTTGGATCTAAGCTTACGACCCAGGAACACGATAAATCGGCCTAGTATCGTGGCATAGGTGAGCCGAAGCCGAAAAAAGATGTTAAAGCAGGTCAAAAATCAAGGTTATGTTGATGGTTTTCTTCGATTATCGAGGTGTGGTGCATTTCGAATTCCTTCGAACTGGCCAAAATGTCAACAAGGAGTACTATTAGCGTGCTATGTGTCGTTTGCGCGAAGCTTTTTCTAAAAAGATACCGAAATTATGGTCGATAACTCTTGGTTTTCGCCCACAATAATGCACCATCGGATATTGCATTGATTTTTTGTGAGGTTTTCGCCTGACTGAGCTCCGTGTGACTTCTGGTTATTCAGCAAATTTAAACGGCCGCTTTGGGGAAACCGTTTTGAGTCAATTGGAAATATTAAATGTGAAACGCAATGCGATTTGAAGGCTATTCTTTCTGGAATTGTCTTTAACAACTCTTTCGAGGGTTGGAAAAAACGTTGGTACAAGTGTATTCGGAACCCGGGGGATTCCTTTGAGAGGTACGCCATAGATTTTTAAAAATAATTTAAGAATTTTGAAATTATGACCACAGTCTTACTATTTTTTGCTCATAGTAGTATATGCAAGCTAACAATTAAAGGAAAATTTTTGCATCAAGAGGAATCTTGCAGCACCCAACCAATGCTTTGAATCAGGCATATACATATATGTATGTATGTATATTATATAAATTATATACCTACATACCATACTTAAAGTAATAAATAACAAATAAATAAATTAACTGAGAGCGCACTTACGTAAATGTCTGTGACAGGCGCATTTAGGCGGCCTCTGTGGCTCCCGAAATGAAAGATGCGTCTTGCGTGCGTCGCGAACGATGGGAAATGTCGGGCAGTCAAACTTGAAATGTTACGACGGCAGTGAAAATTATAGCACTTGTTTTTGTTTTTATCGCCCCGGCAACGGTTAACGGCAAGCGAATTTTATGCTGATGCGTGATCTTACGCGGCACAAACAAACACATTTCGAGCGCGATTGACTATGCAAATTGAAATCACGCATTCTGTGTTGAAATCAATTAAGGATTTGATTAATTCTTGTCGGACATAGCGGGTTGTAAAGTGGATTTCCGTTTGCCGATATAATATTATTGTTGCAAGCGCCCGACTGCGAGACACTGAAATGAGAGAGGAGAGGACATTCATTTAGCAAGCCATATAATAAAAGTTTATGTAAATACATACACACATACAAATACTTATATATACATAGAGTATATGCAATGATTGAAAACAAGTTCAGCGGCGGCTGCTGCTACTGCAGCTGATATGTAAATTTCATTATGTAATAAAGCAAATGAAATGGCTTTCAGCGGCAAAGTGCTGAAATTGCGATAGCCGTTGATGGCTGCGTGGCAAAGTGGCTAAAGTCGTGTCCACGCATCACCCTAAGTGCGGTTGGCACTCAAAAGTCACTTTAAGGCCCTTTGGCGCTAAACTTGCGCAAAAATGTGTGACATAATAAAAAGTGCATTAATTTAATTGAATCGCTTTAGAATCTCAAAACTGGAACTAGAACAATTTGCGCCATTTAATGGTGTGGTGCTAACTACTAGAATCGATTAAGTAAAAGTTCTATTACAATGGATCCGGTTCAATAAAAAAAAAAAAGAGAAAACTAGTAAAGAGTAGACAAATGGATTAGAATAGACTAACGCCAGTTACAGCCAATTAGTATATACTATAACACTTTGTACCGATTAATGGCGTGTGAAATAATTTTATAAAACTTTAGAAATTTGATACCAAGCGGCATTTTAATCTGACTGTCGATCCATGTATAATATTTCTTTCTTTATTGGCATAGATACCGCTTACGCGATTATAGTCAAGTTTGTAACAACGTGCCAGTTGTTCTTCCTTTTCGCTTTTTGCCGTTAATTCGAGATTCTAAGTATAGCCACCATTCTCCACCTGATTTCTTTAACGGAGTGGAGTGGAGACCTTCTTCTTCCCCGGCGGGTAATGCTTCGAATACTTTCAGAGTTGAAGCTCATCCATTCCGACGACATGGTCTTTAGTTTCGTTATAGTTCAGCTCTTTAATCGAAGAGTTCTAAACAAGGTCAAATATACTAACCCATCGGATTCGATTTCAAATGTTTAAGAATAAAAGTGCCGTTCCCAGGATTGTAGTATCTAAATATCCGAAAAGATCCTCGAATAATTTCAAGAATGCTTACTGCCACTACAACAACAACAGTAAATGACTATCTCATCGCCCTTTTTCTCTACTTCACGGTAAGGAACCAACAATTTTTTTCTGGTAATTCTACAGGAACCTGAACCAGGCAGCAAGAGAAAAGAGTATAAACTAGGCCTCAACATATTTGTCGATGAGACTACAATTCTGACAATCATTATCCCAAAAAATGCTAGGCGTTACGTGCGTAGTCTCTACATTTACACTATTCAATCGACTGCTTTCGTTACCAAGGTGTAAAGCCGAATTAAGATCCTCAAGTCGCCAGCTGACATACCAGGGGAGAGGACAAAGAACTTCTGCTAGCAACTTGTAAGGCACTCGGCCGGGCGATGACCAATTACACAGTAGCAACATGATCTCCTGGGCGCAGCAGAATGCAGTTGAAGAAGATACAGACTTGGCCAAATACTACACTCTGAACAACTACTGGATGCCTCTATGCTCCTGGCTCACGAAAAAACGCTGTTATTCAATTAATTGTTTGCTGCGTTCTCAATCTTGAGGAAATATGGACCAATTATTCCCCTTGCCTTTTTACGATATAACGTCGTCTCAGGATTGTGAATTATCAGCACTTCAAAAGTAAATATTTTATCCATTAGCCACCAACCAAACGTGAACTTCATCACTGAATACAATTTTTTTTGAAAATCTGTATCGTTGGCTATTTCGGTTTGGATCCATTCACCGAACGTGTGACGATATTCTGCTGGCCGACTATGTCGACTGAATTTTGAAAGCTGCGCGACAACCAAACTATTATTTTGGTAAAAGCGGGTGATTCAAGTACACTTTCTTTGATGGACCACGCGTCAGTTCCTCAATTTATGATGCATGCAATGAAGGAAATATAGCAGCCGTAGCTTAGAGTACACGAAGGCCGTGGAGAGTCAACTCGGCGCCGTTCGCAGTTACTTGGACTGACGTATGGAACGACTTAGCGGATTTTACGTGAGGAAATTAAATTGAAATACAACTTGTGCAAGAACTGAAACCGCTCGATCCTTCGGTCCAAATTTTGTTCAGCTACGAGACCCATTTCTTTCTCAATGGGTATGTAAACAAACGAAATTGGTGTGGTTTGTGGACCGGCGCAATTATCGGTCCTTATTTCTTCAAACATGATGCCGTTGAGAACGTAATCTTCAATGCCGACTGATATCGCGCTATGATAACCGACTACTTGATGCCCCAAATTGAATCCCATGATATCGGCGACATCTGGTTTCAACAAGACGACGCCACTTCACATACATCGCATCAGTCAATTGATATATTGAGAGATCACTTCGGTGAGCAGATAATTTTACGTTTACGGCCGGTCGATTGGTCCCCAAAATCGTGTGACGTGTGGGAATATGTAAAGTGTAAAGTCTATGCAGCAATCCAGCTTCGACTTAGTTCTTCGAATTCAACATCACAGTCGAAAAGCTCGAAAAAGTCATCGAATATTGGACTCATCTAAAACGTGGACGCGGCCAACATTTGAAAGAGATAATATTCAAAAAATAATATGCCAAAAAAATGCTATTTCGAATCATTCTTCATAAAATTTGAAGTTTCTGCATCTTTTATTTAAAAAAGGAGGGAATCTCGAGTTGGAACACCTTTACACGACTTGCGAACGATGTTTCGAAGTAAGTCGATTCACTCTGAAATGTCAAATCAAACTGAGTATAATTTAGGTGACAGCTGTCAAAAAGACAAAGGCGGAAAAAATATTCTTTCATTGAAGACCAGGCGTCTTAAGAAAAGCACTCGTTAAAAAAAAAAATACTTTGATAGTACACTAAAATCTAGTATCGTACTGAAAGTCTTATTCAAATACTAACATTGCATATTCATTCAGCATTTTTATGTCCAAATAATGAAGTCCTTCAAATGAAGTAGCAATAAAACTCCCTCTTCTGCCCTCGTCTTGGTGGTCTGTACGCCTTAACGCCTTATCTCAATGGTGTGTGTAGTGTGTGAGCGATCTCAGCTTATCAACGCCAAATGCATTAAAATGTGGCATGCAAGCAACAGAATATATACCAAACCATATAAGTTTATCATATCAAATACTCATATGTTTGAGTGTATGGACATATGTATGTATGTCAAATACTCCAAATGGAGTTGTTACAGCAATGATAAAAGTGCGCAAGGCAGTTTAACGCCATGCGGACATGCAATGTGGATGAAGTTAGGACACAGGCAGGACATTAGGCTGTGCTACATACATACACACAAACACACAGATGCGCATAAGTGTGGTTTATATATTCGAAAAAGGTCACTCGTACGCGCTCTAGTTGCTGTCATTCATGGTCTAATGCAATGAAATTGTCATTTACTAATCAGAGCATTGTCATGGCGCTGTGGCATATTCATTGATAAAATAACGAAAGGATTTTTTTAGTATTTCTTCACACACACAGCGAACCAGATAAGTGCAGGTAGACAGTCAGAAAACCGATTGCCGACGTGCAAGGCAATCTTTAGCTTCAAATCATGAATGGCCACAAAGCGATAGACAAGCGCTAAGATAATCCTTTTTTCACTTTCATCAATACATACAAATAATTTTATTTTTGCCTGCCGAGCGCCCGCAGTAGACACAATTAAAAAGTTGACGCCACTTTTGCGGTCTTATCACTTTCGACAAACAACCACACACACACACACACCTACCTTTGTAGATACGTAAGTTCGCTTAGGTGGACGAATGACTTCATGGTTTAATTAAAAGGATATTCGTGTTGTACTGATATCAAAGAGGAGCACTGCACTTTAAGGGAATAAAGATGTAAATAAAAGGGATATATTGTGGATTACAGGAAATTAATCTAAAAGACTTTATGTATTTCGATCATGTTGCATGCCACACCATCTTAAAGTGTTGATATTTGGGTAGCGCGACAGATATTTGCAGCACAGGTCTTTGGAATGTCCAATGATTGTGTTGGAAAATGCAACTGAGGGAATCTGTTGGCATTTGCTTCAATTAAGTGAACTCATTGTAGTAAAAACTGTGTCCTATGATATTTTAATTCAACCGATGAAAGGTTTCTATTGTATAAAACTGAAGCGGCTTAATTTTTTATTAAAATATAGACGGGATCCGCTATTTTTTTCCTGGTCAAACGTCGCGTTAGTGTATAGGTAAACACGGCCTTTTCGGAGAATACTACTTCATTATGACACTAAAATAGCACGATAATTTCTCAATTATTCTTTATTGATTGCTGTGAACAAATTTTATTTCTGAATCAGTCTTCTTGATGTCTTTCTGATGGCATGTCATGCTAGGCTATAGGCTAGGTGCGAATTGAGTTTAATTAAGATATATGGATTCGACATATCTACATCGAAGCAACCTAACTAAAGGCCAATATAGTCTGCTTTGGGAAAAATATGGTAATTGGAGATTTTTCAGCATACTGTAGAAGCTACAAAAAAAAAACGATTTTTTTTTTGCTTAAATCTCTTTAAAAAATAATCTAAGAATATGTCGCCAAAGTTTTAGATGGGAATTCGAAATATTGTCGAAGCTATAGGTGAAATAGTGACCGAGCTTCTAGCAGGTATATGAGCGCTTGGGCAGAAAGTAAAAACTTTGATTTCTTGGATTTTAAATTTTTACGATTTTTCTTAACGGACGGACAGGACAAGAAAAAACTATACGTCTTATGGTATTGGGGCAATGTTTATTATTAAATTATCTTATATTTAAACTAAAAAATCTAAAAAAAAAATCACGTTAGAACATTTTTTAAACAACATAAAGTAAAAATTTTGTGGTAAAAAACGACTTTTTTTCAATTATTAAAAAATTGTAGAATTTTACATTATTTTAGGATTTTTCTTACTTTAACTAGAAGATGCGTTATTAACAAATATTAATCTCTATGAATTTTTTGTTTCAGATAGA